GTTATCCCATTTTACAGATGAGAAAACAGTTCACCAATGAACATCATGCCTAGGATCTTCGCTCTTCATAGTGAGCTTCCCAGAATAGCAGCATCCACTATTTGCCTGGGGTCTTTAGAAACCAATCCAGGACTCCCCCTGAAAATTTTCAGGACACCCCCTGGATGTCCTGAATCTGTCTTTCAACCACGTCCTCTAGTGATGCTTCTGCATACCAAAGTTTAAGATGGACTGGTCTAGAAAACACAGACAGGTAAGAGAAGAATTAGAACTCAGGTTCAACCTGTCTAATTTTGATCACGAGACACAAACCTCATGGTCTTAGAGAAGATAAACTAAGATGTCAATAAGGCAAATTGGATGTGTCAATACATTTGATTGCCTGTCTACTCTTGCAAGCATCCTGTCCAAGGTCATCTGTAATACAGAAGGGCGAGCAGACCTGGGAATCAAGAGGACTGAGCCAAAATCCAGCCACTACTCAATAATAGCGTTAAAAAAGCTGCTCCTCTCCCAAGGCCTCGCTGTCTCTAGTGAAGTGGGAAGGCAGGAGGACTTCTTTCTGGCTTAGCTATGCTGTGTTTTCATGCCAGCATGTGAGGCTGCCTGGGCTCCTGACACCAACAGAGTGGAAACCATTTCCTTCGCTAGGCTGCAACATCTATCTTTAGTCAACTTCTTTGATAATTGCTGTTGCTTTTCCCAAACATAAAAATAGCTTATTATTAGCACAGCAAATAACCACCACCTTCCAGGGCCCCTGACAGCTTGAGAGCACCCCCAACAAAGAGCTGGCAGCCAGCTGGGTCCTTAGGATATTCAGGGGATTCCAGATCTCTTGGCGGAAACCAACTAAGCATGTTATCGGTGCATTCATCTTCCTAAGGGCAAGGGTTGCATCCATGTTCTCCAACCCTCGTGCCTTGGGATGACACCCAAAACACTAGGTCACCATCATCCATGCTGCCAAGGACCTTTCTCCATCAACGAGTCCAGACTCACCCCACCTGGAGTGCAGTCTGGGTCTCTCTCTTGTCATCAGAGGTCACTTCATTCCCATCAGATAGGAAGACCTCTTGAAACTGACGGACATATTCCGGTCCAGAAGAAAGACTGCCAAATTTCCTTAGATGCCTAAAACCTGGCCCAGATTTTCTCAGAGACAGGAAGAGAAGTTTTCCCTGAGTGTTTTTATAGAGGGGGAAGTCCAAGATTTTATTTTCCATTCAATCAGTACATCCCCACCATCACTAGAGACCTTCCTCCATGGGCAGTGGGTGTCCAGACACAGTTCCCACAGACTGAATCAGCAACGGATCCAGTTGGCTCACCGAGAACTTCCCCAGGAAGCCGACCAGGCTTGCACTCTGTCACTTGGCCAGAGACTTGAAGACATCATTTCCACCATAAATACTCAACTGGTCACTGCCAAGCTACAACTTTAGGAATTCTATTTACAAGAACACAGGGCAACTGGTACTTGGCTCTAGATGTGGGTTCCCAAGCGGCAGTGCTGAGAGGTCTAGGCTATCTGTTTTAATGGGATCCATGGCTAGTAACCTCCATACTCATCAATCCCAGTGCATCTCTTCTGGCACCTTCTTTCTGGGCTCTTTACAAAACAGTCAAGGGGCCTCCCTGGTGGTGCAGGGATTAAAGATAGCCACTATCAAGCTATCTTCAGCCACAGCAGCACAAGTTCAATCCCCGGCCAGGGAGCTGACCCACATGGTGCAGCAGACCTCTCCTGTCTCACTCACTGCTCCCCTCAGCAGTGTATTTCAGTTGATCTGCCTGTTCTGCTCCCCACTTTCTCTGGTGAATCCTCTCACCCCCACACCTCTAACTTAGCCCACAGTTCTTCTATGCATAAATTAATCTTTAAAAAATAAAAAATAATAAAAAGCAATCAACTTGTTTGCTTTCAACAAAATTCAGTGTTCTCACCACTCCTTCTGCACCTTCTTTATCCAATTGTTCAATCATTTAAGCAAACATCCTTCCTGCACCTGCCATATCCCAGAGACCTAGAACACAAAGATGTGTGAGCATAGCTCCAGCGCTAAAGGAGGGGCCTTTTACTGGATCTACAGTGTGGCTCTTCTGCCAGTGTGTTCTGAAGTGGAGGAGAAGTAGGGTGCTGGTCAAGTAGGGCAGCTCAAGCAGGTTTGGGGAAAACATTTCTGATTATAGTCTATCCAGATCCATGCCCAAGCAGCCTCAAATAGGCAAGAGATGTCAACACAAATAAATAATAAAGTAGAGAGCAATAAGAAATGAGAAGCCTTTTGCACACAAATATTCTTTTGTCCATGTCCCCAGGTTTCTACTTATTTGGGCAAGAAAATGTGCCCTCAGGTGGATTTGGAGGTGGAGAGGATGCCAGACATTTAAACACGGTGGAACCAGAGATGGACATGTATTTTCAATCATCACATCAGCCCAAGCTGTGATGGCATTGGGGTGCACATGAGAAAATGTGTGTGGCCTTCATGGTACCCCAAATGTCTGCTACAGTGATACTGAAGACACTTTACCATCCCCTGTTAAATGGCACAAGCTCAGGAGCTCCTCATATATTACCTATTGCTGCACCACCGCCCCTTAACCATGAAGTATCCCCATATGGAAATACCAATATGCTTCTTCTAAAAGAACGTGGATAGGCCTCCCTGGAGGCACAAGGGGTTAAGTGTCAGCACTAGGAAGCCATTCACAGCCACTGCAGCACGAGTATGATTCCCAACCAGGGAGCTACCCACATGGCACAGCAGACCTCTCCTGTCTCGCCCACTGCTCCCCTCAGCAGTGTATCTCTGTAGATCTACCTGTTCTGCTCCCCACTCTGTCCTGAGCCTGGCCGGGCCATCACCTCTGGATCCTGTCGCATTGAGCGTCACTCTGGCTTTGAGGCGCAATCTTCCCAAGGGATCCACAGTCTGTGTAAGCAGCTTTTTCCAATAAGCCCAGCACAAGAGGGTCCAGAACCTCCACGCCCATTAAAGAAACCCTGGCAGAGATCTTAGAAGACGACAGCTCAGCCTGAGAGAGGACAGAAACTGGAAGTCACACACACTGCGGCCTTCAAATTGTCTAGAGATTGAGACAGTTGTCTGGGTTTTGATCCAGCCCCCAATCTGTTATCATCCATTCTCTGAGACCCAGGCATGTCTCTTCACCTCTGCTCACTCACTTCCCAGAGTGGGTCCGGGGGTGAGTGAGCACGGGACAAGCACCCTTCTCAGCAACTCAGTGAGCTCTGGGCTGTGTCTGGGGAACTCGGCTGCACAGAACACTCCCCACCACCCGCCCACCCTCCACCCCTCCTGAGCAGGCTGACTGCCGCCCTGCCTAGACTCGGCCCATTGTAGTGATCCTCCTCTCTTGGACCTGAGCACACTGGATTAGAACCACTCACCTAACCGTCTCCACCAGGCTGATTATACTCTATCCAGGCCCTTGCCCAAGCAGCCTCGAAGAGACCAGATTGCCATGCAACTAAATAAATAGAGAGTGAAGGGATGAGAGGCCCATTGCACACAATATTCTTTTGTCCAAGTCCCCAGATTTCTACTTCCTCAGGTAAGAAAATGTGCCCTTCCATGGCTTTGGAGGTGGAGAGTTGGCCCAAGCATGTCCACAGTGTGATAAATAAGAGTTTACTGAACAGACAGAGGAGTGCGTGCGTGAATGTAAAACTGTGTCCACAAGTGAAGGATTAAGCAAACGCTCTATGATCTTATGCTTTGTAGGATAACTCACCTCCAGTTTCCCTGAAGACTTGTGAGGGTTCTCTACAACGTCTGTGCAAGGAAACAAAAACTTCAAATAGCTTGTAGGTACAGGCGTGACTGTTTCAGGAGAGTTAGGATAACCCCCCTCCAGCCTTTCCCTGCCTCCCAGCTTCTTCCCATGTATCTTATCTCCTTGCTCTTCCAGCCCCTCTGTCTGCATTTCTCTCTTCTCTCAGTCTGTCTGTCTAGCTCTGTGTCTGTATTTTGCTATCTCATCTACTTCTCTCTCCCCTCCCCTTTCTTCCATACCTCCTCTCCTGGCCCCATCCTGCCTGCCCCAGACCCCATTCACTGGCCACTCTGCAGGCATGCTGGGCACTGTACAGAAAAGTGCTCCCCTTGGCTCCCAAGCTCCTGGCATAGCCTCGCCTGTCCCTTGGGAGAAGCAGTGGTCAAGAGCCTGCTGGGCTTTGGACACGGACAAACTCGGCTAGTTCTCTCCTGGCTCTTCACACCCTAGTTGTGTGACCTTGGCCAAGGTATCTGAGTGACTTCTCTGAGCCTTGCTTCCTTGTTGGTAAACTGAGGTAAAGATATCATCCACCTCGGAGGATGGCAAGGGTTATACGAGATCATGCTTGGAAAACGCTCAGCATGAGGGTGAAGTGCCACAAGCAAGCACCCGATACTATGCTTTTAATTGTGGTGGGTGATGGCTTTTGTGTCTTCTGCAAACACTGTGTGTACCCAGAGGTCTTCGTTGAGGATGGTGTCCCTCAAAGAGCCTCTCAGACGCTTCCACCCCAAATGGATTACCACCCAGAGCTCAGATTTCCCAGGCTATGACTCACTGGGCTTCTGTGACTGCCTGAATTTGGACAGGATCTATCTGGATGAAAACATCCCCAAACCTGGCCTCCCCCAGAAACCATCTGAGGAGCTTTATAATGGTGACCCTCTGGGGTGAGTTTAGGAGATTCTGACTCCACATTCTGGGGTGGCACCCAGGAATGAGTATTTTCAAACCATCCAGAGTGACTCTGAGGGGAGAACAGGCATCTGAACTTTTGTTCTAAACTGAGTGGACACTTGTGAGATAATGAACGAATGAATGAATGAATGAAATGAATCAGCAGGGATGATAAATGAATGGAGGGGTGAGTACATGAATGAACGAATAACAGCTTCACCTCCCTTGAAGGGATGCTGGTGTTTTCCTCCAGACCGAGCTCTGGACTGCAGCGCGTGTGGCCAGCTCCTCTTAGACCCCAGAGAGCAAAGTATTAGGCTCCCCATTCCTTGATCTCTTGCTCCCTGCAGTCTTACCCCTGCCCTTGCCCTGTCCTGGTGTCTATTTTCTCATCTCCTCAGCGCCTTCCCTCACCTCATCCTCTCCAGTCCTCACTTGATCTTTGAGGCCCCCACTCCTCTCCTGGGGACCCTCCTCGTGCCCAGCCCACCTCCCACTATAGAACATTTGCAAACTGGGGGGTCTTTTCTCACCCCAGGACACTGTGCGAGCAGAGGCTTTGGACACAATAGTTACACAAAACTGATTTATTTGATGAACCGCAGTGACTAACAGGGTCGGAGAATAGCGCAGACATTCCGAAGAGGGGGCGGGTGGGAGGTGAGGGAGGGCTCCACAGACACCCTCCCCCACCCCTTGTCCAGTCCAGGGCCACCAGTAAGTTCCAGACAGGCAATCTCTGCAGGTCACCCTGGAGAAGTTTCCTCCAGCCTCGACTGGGTGCTCTGAGGAGAGCCCTGGGCTGAGGTGAGTCTGGGAGATTCTGCGGTGGGGAGATGACGTACTTCACACCCAGAGCTGGCTCCCTCCCAGGGATGGTCAAGACGTCCATTCACATCCAGCCGGGCTCTTCCTGTCTCCGTGGCTCACATCCTTCATGTCCACAGTCCACCAAGAACAGAACCCAGAGTACACACCCCCGCCCCCAGCTCACAAAGGCCCCACCAGCAGGGCTCCAGCAGGAGCTCCGGGCCTCTCCAGCGGGTGAATGGGGTCACACCATCAGCCTCTGTCCTCCCAGCCCAGCAGGAGGAGCCGGGGGTGCAAGCCCAATGGCAAGGGCTTTTCACCCCTTGGCGAGCAGGCAGCCTCCGTGGACCCCAGAAAGAGAGTGATAAGGGGAAGACTCATGAGCTCAGAGCAAAGTGGGGAGGACTGGAGCTTTTTAGCCAGCTTCCTAGTCCCCTCATGGAACTGGGGAAGTCCCAGGGACCCAGAACGCTAGGACTCCCCAAACTTCAGGGGCCCGCTGCTCTGGAGAGCTCCTGGAAAAAACATACACTTCCTTTCAAAGCACGGACCAGCCGTCAGAGCCCCCAAATCCAGTGGGGGGTGGACTCACTTTTATTCTCTATTGCCTCGATATGCCCCTTCTTCTGTCAAGGATATTGGGGTGCAGAGCAGGGATGTGATGGAGGGGACAAGTGATCAATGACACAGATACCCATCGTTCACGCTAGATTCACCCGTGCGTGCTCTCTCTCTCTCTCTCTCTCTCTCTCTCTCTCTCTCTCTCACACACACACACACACACACACACACACACAGAGCAAGCAGCCCACCCCCACAAGGGCACTCTGGGCACCAGGTAGAACCCGCGCCTGCTGGAGAAAAGCATCCTGGGAGTGACAGGTGGGTGGGGAGGCAGGGTAAGGCCAGAAGCTCACAGTTTCCAGGGAGGTGAACTGGGTGAGGATATGGGGAGGGAAGTGAAGCTGCCGATAGATTATGCAAACACCCCTCTCTCTCTACTCTCCCTTCCCAGCTCCCCAAGCCCAGGACTTGGTCAACTCCTTGCCTTCCAGTTCCCATGAACAGGGGGTGAGGGGCGTCTGGGGACATCTGTGCAAAGCTTATCTAATTGGCATCAAAGCCACGCTGCCCGGGCTGCAGGAAGGGAGGCTCCCTTCTGGGGACCCCAGCTCCTGAAATTACAATGAGCTGATCCAGTTTGGGGGAAGTTCCAGAGGCTGGGCTGCAGAGACTGGAGCGCCAAGTCTTTACTGAGACAGCCCACCCCGCCCCAGCCCTTCCCTCCTGCTCTCCGGGAACAAGGATAAAGAACTGGAACAGGGTCAGTGTTGGCAAGCATCAGGATCTTAACCCTTCGGAGCCCTTCAGAACCAAGGGGTCAAAGGCAGGGGAGGGTTAGAGAGAGAGCCATGAGCTGGGAAGTTGGAAGGGAAGGACTGGGGTGAAATCTGCAGAGCTAGAGGGGAACCAGAGGGAGGAAGAGAGAAGGAAAACTAATGGGAAAAGGGAACAGACTCTTCCTGAGCCAGGACTCACACATCATTTTCGGGCCAGTATGACTCCCCCCATTTCATGCAAATGGGGGAAACTGAGGCTCAAAGAGGTTCTGCTGGTGCAAGGTCAGTCCCACAGATACGGACTAGCCCTGCGTGGGTGGGCAGGGTCTCCATCCCCCAGCCCACAGCCCTCTGAGCACACTACACGAGTAAGAGGGGACGAGGCGGAGGTGGAGGGGGCCAGGAGCAGCAATGGGGTCAAGTGCAAGGGAGAAGGCGCCGCAGCTACCAGACTCTCAGAGTCAAGAGCAAAGGCTGGGGCAGGGCAGAGGGCACCAGGCTCCTCTCGCCTCCCGGCCCTAGTCAACCACAAGGGTCTCTTGGCTGTAGGGGATGGATTTCTCCTGCGTCTGCTCTCCGCCCTTCCCCGGGTTGGGGCCGGGGCCCTGGCTGTGCCCAGAGGAATAGCTGCCCGACTTGTCCCCACTGCTGCTGTGGGAGACGCCCCCGCACCTGCTCTGGCCCCAGCAGAGCATGGAGGTGCAGGCCTGGCGGAAGCGGGGGTCAAAAAATGCGTAGAGGAAGGGGTTGAGGCAGCTGTTGATGTAGCTGATGCAGGTGCAGTAGGGGAAGACGTTCATGAGGAAGAGGTCGAAGTCGCAGGGCCAGTGCAGCAGGCTGCCCAGCATATAGAGCGTTTTCACCAGGTGGTAGGGCATCCAGCACAGGGCGAAGGTCACCACCAGCACCACGATGATGCTCAGCAGCCGGCGCCGCTTCCGCAGGCCCTCGATGCGCTCCTTGCGGAAGTGGCCAGCGATGGTCTGGGCGATAAAGAAGTAGCAGGTCAGCATGACGGTGAAGGGCACCACGAAGCCCACGGCGGTGGATGAGACGCCCAGCCCCACCTCCCAGGCCCACTCGGAGCTGGAGGTGGCCACCATGGAGTAGTCCATGTAGCACTGCACTTTGGTGGTGTTCTCCAAGTCCCCCGTGGAGCGGAACACCATGACCGGCATGGCCAGGAGGGCGGCCAGCACCCACAGTACGGCCGTGGCCACCGCCCCGCTGACCCGCAGCCGCAGCCGGGCGTTGGCCACCGGCCTCACGATGGCCAGGTAGCGGTCGAAGCTGAGGCCAGTGAGGCAGAAGACGCTGGCATACATGTTGACAAAGATCAGATAGCTGCTGAGCTTGCAGGCAAAGGCACCGAAGGGCCAGTCGTAGTCCCGGTAGGTATAGGTGGCCCACAGAGGCAGTGTCACCACGAAGGTCAGATCAGCCACGGCCAGGCTGGCGATGAAGATGTCAGCTGAGCGCCTCTTCTCCCGGCTGCTCCGAAACACGGTCCAGAGGACGAGGCCATTCCCAGTGGTGCCCAGGAGGAAGACCAGCATGTAGATGGCAGGGATCAGGGCTCCTGAGGACTTCCAGTCTGAATACTCACACTCAGACTGGTTGTCTGCCCCATAGTAGTTGTCGAAATCGCCACTTTCCTCCATCCTGGGAGCAGAGAGAAAACAGGCAGGGCTCGAGGGGAACCAGGTCCGTGGCTGTCACCAAGTCAGCACGGGCCGGTTTCGAGTTTGAGCCTCAGAGCACAGCGACCAGGGTTGGAGTGTCCAGAGCCCGTCCCAGCACGCTGGAGGGGCTTTCTGCAGCTCCCGGGACCCTGGAGGATGCCCCGCTCCTGCAGACTTCCTGCCACCCTCTCCTGCTGGCCCGGCCTCTGCAACACCCTTCCTTGCACCCTCCTGAGTCTCAGTCTCCTCCTCGCTCGTCACTGCCTCCTCCCACCTCCAGGCCAACCCCTCACTTGCGAGTCTTAAGATGTTTAAGTTACAGCCCACTTTTTTTTTTACTTCTTGTCACTGGACAAGTGGACCAAATTGACCCCTGCTGTGCTGGGTAGAATGTTATCTGTGGTTTGCAGCCTGCTCTCCCCCTGGTCTTGCCTCCCCCTCTGACTGTGCCCACCTTCGCCCCAGTCTTATCCCTCTGGTTTCCTCTGGCCTTTGGAGCACTCCCCACTCCATTCCTCACCTCCTCCCGTCCCCTCTAAATGGGGCAAATTATGCAGATTAAAGCCCAGGCTGAGCTGGAGCCAGGGTGGAGGGGGGCAGGGAGGGTGTGAGATTTCGCAGGATGGTCTGAGCATCTGGTGGCCCTCCTGGCAGGCTGGTGGGTCCCTCCAGCCCCTCCTGCCCTCCCACCCCCACCCAGACCAAATTTCAATCTAGCACCCTCTTCCTACTCTTCCCCTTACAGCATCCTCTTTTGCCCCTTGGTTTTGACCCTCATTCCTGGGAATGTTTGTGGTTTGCAGACACAGTTACACAGCAATTGTCTAGAACTCCTAAGCTGTTGGCAGGTTATAATTGCAGGTGAACTGCAGGACATTTGAAACAGGCATAACAGAAAGCCCAACTTGGTGGGGAAACTGAAGCCCAACAAGGTAGAATTTGTTACAGTTTTGTTGTTTGCTTTTCTTCTTCTCCGGGAACTTGACACAGTGCTGGGCATGCAGATGATCATTAAATGGTTGATGAGTGAATGAGGGAAGGTATTCTGTATAGAGAAATGAGTGTATGGATTACTATGCAATGAGAACATGGACATATTTCCGTGCCTGGGTTCTTACTGCCCTCCATAGACCAGGAGGTCTCTCTAAGACCCTGGGGTGAAGGACGTCAGGAAGTTGCAGCTAAAGGAGGAGGAAAAGAAAGAGACAGTCACTGGGGTGCCACAGTCCCATAGAAATGCACTTTGTCCAATTTGATCACCTCTCCAGAACTCTGGGACAAAGGAAAGATGTGTAGAGGAGGCCATCTGAAGTTGGGCAGTGGTGTGATGAAGCAAAATCAGGAGATGAATCCTGGCCACAAGCAAAGCAGAATTTACAGAACTGGAACCCATAGTCTCAAAGGAGAGTTAGTCAGAAAATCATCAAGGCTCTTAAAGCCGGGACCCCAAACGCACATACCCACAAAGACCAGCCAGTGAATATGGGTGAAATAGTCATTTTGAGACAATAGGGAGTAGTGTAGACTATGGCAAACTGGAGCAAGACACAACATTCAAAGGAGGCCTCCTCAGTTCCAGTTCTTCTTTAGGGCCTCTTGTTGCCATGCAGAAATATGGAGCCCAACATTACCATGCTTTCCGACTGCTCAACATAATTTCAAATTCCGAATTTAATGAAAAATTTTCAGATTTGTATTTGGGAAGTTAAATCTATTTGGGAAAACAAACAAACAAACAGAGGACAGGACAAGTAAAACCTGTGCTTGGGCCCCCAGTGGGTGTTCTTTGAACAGCAGCCTCACAAGAATGAAAGGTTGGACAGATAGGCCAAGAGGAAAAGACAGCAAATGCCAAGGCAGAGAGATGAAATTAAGCATAGCCAGAACTTTAGGATGCAATGGGAAGATGCAATAAAGGAGGCTGGAGAGAAAGATCCTGGGAGTCTTGGATGACCTTTACCTAATGGAGAGATACGAAAGAGAAATGAGGATTAAATATTGAACACTTACTGGGTGCCAGACATTCTTTTAAATATTTTGTGCATTTTATAAGATTTGTCATCTATTTTAACCCCCACAACAACTTTAGAAAGTCAATTAATCTCAGTTTAGAGATGAAGACACATAGGCACAGAGAGGTGAAGTGACTTGGCCAAAGTCACCCAGCTAGTAACTGTCAGAGCCAGAATTTGAGCCAATGGATTAAATCAAGGTCATCTTGAGCCCATGGACAAAAGCACTAAATTCCCAAAGGAAAAAACTCTACAACCCTTTTAAAATTGGGGGATGTGTGATCTGTTGAGATTAGATTTGTAGGACGGTGCTAAGATACCTGCAATTTCCCTTAAAATAAGCTCTCTTGTGTAAAACTAAAAATAGATTGACTAAAATATGCTAGAGCTATTCCTCACTCTTGACAAGAGCCTGCAGGGTAAGAGTCTATGCTGCACCCTTAATTTTAGAGCCATGACTTGATCCACCAACTGTCCTTTGACCCAAGAAGCCTGGTTGCCTGAGGCCAGCTGGAGAGGCAGTAGGACCCAAGCTCTAGAACCTTCCTGGCAGTCTGTGCAGTGGCGATAGGCTCACCCAGTAGGGCCTGGGGCTTCAGGGATCTCACAGCACACGGGCACACAGGTAGGACTGGGGCAGGGGGTGGCGCTTCAGGGTTGTCTAACAGAAATCCATGCAGGTGGCAAAAAGCAGAAGCAGGCTTGAGTGGATGTTGCTGATTTTCCACCACATCAGACTTCTTCAGAGGCTACTGTGACCTCCCAAAAGGGCCCTAAGAGCTATTCAGGGACCAGTCCTGACTGCTCAGGACATGCCAAGTCTAAGCACCCCCTCCCCCAGCAGTCGGGATATTCTCTGCTTCTTTCCCAGGCACTGGGGCCCTTTGCAGCCTGGACACAGCGGGAAGGGAACAAGTGAGCACAGAGGGTCCCTCCTCCCAGCTGTTGCTGTTTGGATCCCAAGCCAGAGAGGAGCCCAGAGACCCTTGGGAGAGGATATGGATCCATCTCTTCCATCTCTTTAATCCTCGGGCCTCCGCACTCTGCCTCAGAGCGGGTAAGAGCAGTTCACCTTACAGAGAAACCAGCTTCGTGGACCGGGGAGGGAATGGGCTAAGTTGGGGAGGGCCACTCTCCAGGGCCCAGGGGGCAGAATGCTGATAAGACCTGGCCTCCCACGTAGAGCCAGCTGGAACCAGATGGCTGGAGTCCCCCAGAATGGCAACCTGAAATAAGCAGAACTGGCCAACCTCACTCCTCCCCCAAGGGCCTGTCCCACACACCATGGAAGATGAGAGCTGAGTCAAGTTGGCCCGTGTGCCCCGTGAGCCTCTACCAGACAGAGAGTACCCGTGCAGACCCCCGCTTTCCTTCCCTACACCCCTTAACTTGGAGTGTGGCTGAATTAAGTCTCAGGAACGCACTCAGGAAAAGGACAGGACAGGCTGGGTCTTCACCCAGGGCTGCTCTGCTGCCTTCACCAGGCCCCCCTGCTTGCTAAATTGATCCAAAAGAATCTGCCCTGAGTCATCTGGTAAACCAGCAGCTGGGGGCCGGACTGTCGGCCAGTGTTCCCCAAGCTGGCTGACCTGAAGAGGCTGAGCGGGTTTCCTGGGGGACTTCTCCCTCGCCTGGGTGATTTCTTCAGGGTATTATGAGGAGCCTGAGATGAACAGTTCCTGGCAGGACAGTGCCCCAGACCTGGTGGGGCCCTTGAGGAGAGCCTCGACTGCTGGGAAGGACCTCTGGGGTCAGCAATTCAATAGTCCCCTCCTCACCGGTCGGACCCCTCCTCCACACAACTCTATTCCTGGCCTAGAAAGCAGACTCCCAGGCCCCGGGCTAGTGTGTACACTTGCCAGCAGGGTCTGTGTGTGCCTGTGAGCAGATGGGGCCTGGTGGGCGTGGAGACCACATGTGCAAGGCGTGCAGGGTGAGCAGGGAGTCCACATGGGCAAGGCGTGCAGGGTTCCCGCATTGGTGCAGGGTGTGGTCAGGGATGGGTAAACATCCTCCTCAGAGCACAGGAAGGGATGGTTAATTGAATCTCTCTAAGGGCTTGGAACAAGGGGAAACTCTGGAAAGGCAGACCTTGCCCAGACCTTGCCCCAAGCTCTGGGTGGAGGACTTCAAAGCAGAAACAAGACTTTCCCTGCCCCTGGCTGGCTTCTCACCTCCTCCTCTCACTCTGCTCCAGCCCCCTCACTTCACAGCTCTGCTTTGAACTCCATGGAACTCACCCAGGGCAACCGGCCCTTTTCTCCCCTTCCCAAGAGGCAGCTGCAGCTGTGTCCCTAACAGCTGGTGGTGTTATCCCAGGGAAAGGGGAGGGAGGACAGGGGAACTGGGGGAATAAAACCTCTGCTGCCCAGCCCACTCTGAAATTCCTCTCCCCTTTCCCCAGCCATGCTACCTTCCCTTCCCCCCAGGCACACCCCACACACACACACACACACACACACACACACACCCTCCCAAATCCTACTTTAGCAGCTTATCTGACCAAAACCAAATGGCCAGCTGCCATCTGACAATTAAAGCAGACCCCTCAGCAGTTCCCCTTCCCCTGGCCATTTGGTGCTATTTCAAACTCTCAGGGCCTCCCTGGTGGCGCAGGCAGTTGAGTGCCACACCATGAAGCTCTCCACAGCATTTGCAGCAAGGGTTCGAAACCCACATGGCGCCACAGAGCTCTCCTGTCTCACCCGCTGCTCCCCTCAGCAGTGTATTTCATCCATCTGCCTGTTCTGCTCCCCACTCTGTCTCTGGTGGATCCTCTCATCCTCCCACACATCTGGCCTATGCCCCAGTTCTTGTATAAATAAATAAATGTTAAAAAAAAAAAAAAACCTCTCAGGACATATACTCCAAACTCCAAGAATCCCTGGGATCCTGGGACCTGCAAGCTTGGGAGCAGGGCAACGTGAGCCCCAATTCCATTGTGGCTAGCAACTTATTCACTCAGCAAATATTTATTGAGCAGCTACTATAGGCCAAACGTGTCTGGTCACTGGAGACCTGGTGTGAGCAATCCATGCCAAGCACACTCTAGGGGTGGGGAGGAATAGAATAGATAAATAATATGTAAATGCAAGGAACTCAGCTTGTTCTGACTCTACAAAGAAACAAAGTGGATGATGACACAAAGAATGAGTGGAGAGGAGGCATGTTAGACAGGGCAGGCCTTGGGTGGGGGCTCTTGGGGGCCTCTGACATTCTAGGTGGAGCCTGAATGACAAGCTCATAGCAGTGGGACCCTGGAC